AGCTAAATAGCATAGCAACTAACTGGATAAATATACACAGCTAAATAACTAGGCTTCCAAATAAAACAAATATACACATAGCTAAATAACAAAATAAAAATATAGATACACACAGCTGAGTAGCTATACACCTACACCTACACATATACACATAGCTAGCCAACTGAACAACCCATTGACTAAATACACACAGCCATATAACCACACAACTAGACATATAAATACACACCTAGCCATACACACACACCTACCCAACTCAGCAACTAAACACACACACTTATACCCACGACAAGCACCTGTCGTACCTGAGCGCGGATCCTTCCACTCCTTCAACCGCACACTATTACGCCTGTCCTCCATCGCACCCCCAGTCTCGTCCGTGCTATCGGCTGACCCAGTCGGTGGGAAAAAGGACTGGTGTCCTTGTCCTGGGCCCCGGCGCCAGGGACTGGCCTGAGATTTGGGTCCAGTCGACTGCTTGTGCCTGTGCAAGCCCAAATCTCCCACCGAGTCAGACGGCGAGCTTGTGTTGCCACTGCCCACAGTCTCTTTATCACTCACCCCGTCGTCTTCCTGCGACAGGCTAGTAGGGCCGTTATCCTTACGAGTGGCCAGCTGTGGGTGTGGGTGTGGGTGTGGGTGTGCGTGCGCGTGTGTTCGTGTTGTGTGTGGTGAATCTCTCGTCCCCTGTCGCGCTGGTTGTCCCGTGGAGTGGGTGGGAGTGTCCTGTGCGTATTCTGTGCTCGGCCCACCCGCCAGCCCATTCCCAGGCAATACAGCGGACACATACGACGACCTCCCAGGACTACCGCCAAACGACGACCGCCCAGGGCTACCGCCGTAGTCACTGTCCGTGTCCAAGTCACTGGACAAGTGGTCCTCTGAGAAGGACGAAGTAGGGCCCAATCTCTCGGTGCTGTGGGTCTGAGGGGTGTGTGACGCCGACGACAGGATCGAATAGCGGCTCACCACGCCTTGCCTCTCCTCGGGCAGGACGCTGTAGGTAGGGTCGTCGAGATAAATAGGTGGGAAAGTAATAGATGGAAACGTAAGTATATGTACACTGTATAGGCGTACTGGTATAAATAGGCGGGATAAGTATGTAAGTACATGTACACTGTATAAGCGTACTGGTATAAATAGGTGGGATAAGTATGTAAGTACATGTACACTGAATAGGCGTACTGGTATAAATAGGTGGGATAAGTATGTAAGTACATGTACACTGTATAGGCGTACTGGTAT